TGAGGCAGGAGACTCGCTTGAGCCCAGGAGTTGGAGGTTGCTGTGAGCTGTGATGCCATAGCACTCTACCCAGGTGGATAGCTTGAGGCTCCGTCTAAAAAAAAAAGAGTGACTATTCTGTGAGCACAGCATCCAATGCTATCACATTTAAGCCTCACAACTTCATGGAGCATTTCAACAGATTTTGCTTCAGTTGTAACCTTGACTGGAGCAAAGATGAGGGGGACTGGAGCAACCATGGGGGGTCTGAAAATACCAGTCTCTAGTTGGACCCCAGGGATAGTACCAATCCCACCAATTCTGTAGCCGTCCTAGAGGGACAGACCCTAGGGCTTGTTAGTTGGAGGCAGGATGCAACCCACAGCTCTAAGCAGCAGAGTTCTGTTGTTATTGCTCTCTCTCTCTCTATTTTATAATATAAACTTCAAATAGCCCTCAAATACCTCAGTATGTAGGGAAACACCTCCAAATTGGAATCCTGTTATCTTAAGGAGGGGATGTAAATTATGGAAGCCAATGGCTCTTTGCCAATGATTCTGGTTAAGGGATATAAATATAAAAATAATAAAACACGGCGGCACCTGTGGCTCAAAGGAGTAGGGTGCTGGCCCAATATGCCGGAGGTGATGGGTTTGAACCCAGCCCCGGCCAGAAACTGCAAAATAAATAAATAAATAAATAAATAATATAACACAAGCTCACATTTAACACACAGAGATGGGAATGTTCACAATAGCCCATAAATATTATACTTCTTCTAACTCAAGCTCTCAGCTCAGGAAGATAATCTTCCTCTCCTCTTTGTACTTCTTGCTGTCTTTTATGGGTGACTTTCCATCCCTGAGCCAAGGCATGTGAGCACTTGGCTCCACCCTGTTGCCATCATTCCAAACAGAAATTGGCACACATACTACTGTGTCAGGGTTGTAGCCAATTCCTTTCTTTCTTTCTTTCTTTTTTTTTTTTAGACAGAGTCTCACTATGTTGCCCTCAGTAGAGTGCTATGGCATCAGAGCTCACAGCAATCTCAAACTCTTGGGCTTAAGCAATTCTCTTGCCTCAGCCTCCCAAGTAGGTGGGACGACAGGTGCCTACCACAAGGCCCATCTATTTTTTGGTTGAAGTTGTCACTGTGTAGCTCTGGGGCATTTCAAACCTGCTACGATGGGTCCGGGTCCGTGTGGCTGGCACCGTAATCACTGTGCTATAGGCACCAAGCCTTGTTTTGTTGTTGTTGTTGTTGTTGTTTTTTGAGACAGAGTCTGAAGCTGTTGCCCTGGGTAGAATGCTGTAGGGTCATAGCTCACAGCAACCTCAACTCTTGGGCTCAAGATCCTCTTTCTTTAGTTTTTCTATTTTTATTAGAGATGGGAGTTTTTGCTCTTGCTCAGGCTGGTCTGGAACTCATAAGCTCAAGCAATCCACCCGTCTCGGCCTCCCAGAGTGCTAGGGTTACAGGTGTGAGCCACTCTACCCAGCCCCACTTCTTTCATTCTTAGAGTGCCAGCTTCAAGTTTACCAACACCAGCAGCAATAATCAGGACAGTACAATCAGCCTGAATATGCCTACAACCAGGTTTTTTTAATAGTCTGCATCCTGGGGCATCAGTGATGGTTACATAGTAATTGCTGGCCTCAAATTTCTGCAGAGATGTCAGTAGTGATACCACTCTCACATTTGTTCAGTTTTCAGTTTATCCAAGACCCAAGCATGCTTGAAGGAGCCCTTTCCCATCTCAGTAGGCTCCTTTTCAAGTTTTTCCAGGGTTCTTTTGTTGATTCCACAGCGTTTATAGGTTGGGATGGCCAGTAGTGGTGGACTTGCCCAAAATTACACGTTGTTCAATGACAACCCTGTTGATTACTGAGAGAGGATACCTGAGAGGAGCAAGATCTGGGAGGGGGAGCTGCAGGGATGCACCTGCAGGGTCCTCTCCATGGTGACTCAGCTCTTGTGAATTTGTGGGCTTGACTTCCTGGAACCTGGAAATTTCCAAGTTCTGTGAAATCCTGTAGTTCTGTAGGGGCTGGACTAGCATCTCTCTTTTGATTCAAACTGGCCAATGAGACGGGTACTTGTAGGGTGGAACTTTTTGACTGTCAATAAAAAGAGAAAGACCAAGCCAGACAGAGAGCGCAGCCATTTGGAAATCTTCTAGGCAGTAAGCTCCCAGCCAATGAATAAAGCCCTTCCTCTTAGAAAGGTGGTGTTTGGTTGCTTTTTCTCTCCTTAGGCCTAGTCTTCCTGCAACAATAGGAGCCTTTTCCTTTCCCATTTTGGCTTTGACTTAGTAGTGGTTTTCACCACACCTGTATTCAGGTAGTAAGATTCTATTATAAATGTACCCCATCGTGTAGTTTAGGGAAACTCTTGTAGCTAATAAGAGTTGTGACTTCAGAGTCCATGGCACCATACTGCTTCTCCAGCGTTCCTTTTGCTTCTCCCACGTTTCCAGCGTGACTTTACGAATCTTGTGGAGGGAGATAGGGAAATAATCTGGCTATGTCTGGCACATATTGGACACGATAAATGTTGGTTGGGTGGATGAAAAGGGAAGTGAGAAGCAAGGAAGAAGTCGTTTGGAGGTCTGTGATAAGCGTTTACGCTCCAATAGGAGAGGCTCCATAGCCAGGCAGAGAAGGGGAGTGATCAGAACCTTCCCGACCAATCCTTACTCTCAAATGACCTAGGTTTACGCTTTACCAACGATAAGGAACTTGTCAGACGCTCCCTTGGCCTCGAGCCCGGGCCCAGAACGGCGCTGTCACTTGCGACCAGCTCCCTGGGCCGGAAGAAGGAAGGCGCAAGCCAGGACGAGGCAGTGGCCGGTAGAGACCTGCCCCAAGGGGTGGGGGCGGCGTGGAGGAGGTGGAGACCGGCGGTCAGCTGTGTGCCAGCTCAGTTGTCATGTCCCGCCAGGCAAAAGATGACTACCTGCGACACTACACAGTCTCCGACCCCAGGACCCACCCCAAGGGCTACACCGAGTACAAAGTAACTGCGCAGGTGAGGTGAAACCAAGCGGGGACTTTACCCTTTTAGTTAGAGGTGGAGGCCGTATTTTACCTTAAGGCAAGGCACTGCAGTAAGCTCCCATTTTAGGCAACGAAAATGGATTTCCCCTTTAAGGGGAGGTGCCCTCGTTTACTTATCAACTCTTAGGGGGCGGGGCCACGGGGGCGCTGTCTTTTTTAAAAGGGCGTGAACAGTAAGAAGTTCTTGGACCTGCCTGGCATGTGCGAACAAGCATGTATTGTCGTGTCAGTACATCAGGTTGTGAATTTCTCTAAAGTAACATGGAAACTCTGGTTTAACCCAAATATTAGCTAATACTCCAATCTCTTGGAGTAAGTTTTGCCTTTTGGTTTGATACTTACATAAAAGTCCTTTATAGAGTTTTAAAAAGCCTTTAAAGAGTTTGATCATTTTTCAGAAAAAAATGCTAGTTTTATGGTTTAAAATTAATACAAAGAAATAAAATAAAAAATTAATACAGTTCAAAAAGACTTATGGAGTGAACCTCTATTTTCATTTCCACCACAGGAAGTCAGTAGATAAAGGCTAATGTTGATATATGAAGTAAACAACATTATAAGCACATTGTATAGGGAAGTGGAAGAAACTGTGAAAAGAAAAATAAAACAGTAATAGGATATTTATAATGATATACAAGACCTGGTAACGTTGAAGTCCCCCAGGGAGAGGATCTAGGTGTCTGGGCACTGGGCTCCCAAAATTTTACTGTAAATTTTTTGTACTTCTAGAATTATCAGCTAGGTCTCTATTTAACTTAAGCCTTTGAACTGGTAAAGCAAAGCAAAAACATAAGATACTTCCAGAGTGATCTAAGTGCAGAATCTTAGATGTTTAAAATATGCTTTCCCCAAATCTTTTATAATGTCTTTCCCATGCCTAAAAAATACAAATAAAAAGATTGTTCCTAGGAGGATGGATTCTGGGAGTGAGAATAATTAACCTTTTCTGTAAGTCTTTCTGTTGACTTTTTAAACTAAGTAACATGCATTACTATGATATATCTTTATAATTTTTTAAGATAAATAATTTTTGCTCACCATCTTCATTTCTCCCTCTTTATAGGTTCATTACTACTAGTTTCTTATTTATCCTTGCGGATAAACTCTATATTACAAGCAAACATATCTGTCCACTTTATTATTATTTACACATAATGGCCTTCTGCATTTCTCTTTTTTATTGTTGTTTAGCAGGCCCAGGCTGGGTTCGAACCCGCCAGGTGGCTGGCACCCTAGCCGCTGAGCTACAGGAGCCATCTCTTTTTTATTTTTATTTTTATTTTTTGGAGACTGAGTCTCACTTTGTCGTCCTCAGCAGAGTGCCCTGGTGTCACAGCTCACAGCAACCTCAAACTCTTGGGCTCAAGTGATTCTCTTGCCTCGGCCTCCAGAGTAGCTGGGGCTGGGCAGTGCCTGTGGCTCAAGGAGTAGGGCGCCAGACCCATATGCCGGAGGTAGCAGGTTCAAAACCCAGCCCCGGCCAAAAACTGCAAAAAACAAACAAACAAACAAAAAAAAAAAACCCAGAGTAGCTGGAGCTACAGGTCCCCGCCACAATGCCTGGCTATTTTTTGAGATGGGTTCTCTCCTCTAGCTCAGGCTGGTCATTTAAAAAAATTTTTAAATTGAGACTTAATTTATATAAATGTGCACAGTTTTAAATGTGTGAGTCAGTCAAATTTTACGTATTTATGCATGTGTACAAACATCACTCAGATCAAGATGTGGACTTTCCCATCACCCAACTTTCCAATCAGTAGTTACCCTCCCACAGAGGTAACCACTGTTCTGATTCTGCTACCACAGATTAGTTTTGTCTGCTCTTGAATGTTTCAAGTGGTTCATACAACAACAAGCACTGTTTTGTGTTCAGCTTTTTAGGCTCAAATAATTTTTTTTTTTTTTT